CTGCTGCAGTATCAATGGTTTAAATGTCAAAATTATCGTTTGTATATCATTGCATATCTCTAACTCTGTATATATTGTGCTTTGAAATGTATTATCGCGACAGGCCTGGTGTTGGAGATTCTGATGGTGGGTGCTTCTGCTCTGCTTGTGAAATGCTGTTTGATTGATTACACTGTGTGACAGATGGTGCAGGTTAGTCTATTTGTTTTTGAGGGCCCATCAGGAGCAGTCTACAAAGGGAGGCACCATGGATGAATGAACTAGTTATGAACTATGCGTCACTAATCCTAGCCTGGAGGAACAGAAATTGTTAGTATGCTGTCTGGGGCGGAGTAGGTTTGTTATCATGTCACCATGCTTACAATGGTGATTTCATTTATTCAGATCATTGTTTGCTTTTCAGAAATTCTTTGATTGTTTTCATATAAATTGCATCATTTTAACGGTGCACTATTCAACTTTTCTGTTGGAGGTCCATCAGCTTCTTGTTTCTGTGGATATGTTATTCTTCTGCTTCGAATGTTCCACAGTATGACTTTAAATTACTCTGCCTTACATTTATTAAATTACAGGTTCTAAAAAAATGTCACTGCTGAAAAATGTATCTGAGCTGTAACTTGGTCTGGTTTGGTCTCCATGGAGATAGAAAGGTTTAATGCCATACTGTGAAACATTCCAGACAAAGCAATAACATCTCCGTGGCGAAAAGCATTTGACGGACCCTCTATCAGAAAAGTTACGCAATACACCTTTAAGAAAAGTTGAGAAATTAGAAACACAGACGGAGTAAGAGCTTTGGGGGAACAGAACAAGTGCTCCTCAAGGACAAGGCTCAAAAGCTAATGAACGGTGAAAATGACCATGCTATAGTGTTTCCCATTAATAGAGGAGACTATGCTGTCATCTCATATTCTAAAATAGCCCCCATAGTCTAAATTAACCTGGGCTATATGTTGTCATAGCAAAATTAGACTTTGTTGCTAGGGGTGTAAGAATAACCAAAATATCGTGATATCGTATTGTCAAAGTTCTCACAATAATATCGTGGACAATCACAATGTATCAAATTACAAGTATCTTTGCTTAAATTAAGAGTTATGGTGCAGAAATGGCTTAAAAAAAAAAAAAAAAAAAAAAAAAAGACAGGCAACTACATAGACCATGATCCTTTGCTCCATTTCAGTGTAGACTACATGAAGAACTAACAGTTCTAAGCACTTTTAAGTCTTAGTTCTTTGGATTAAGTCTTGTCAAGGCATTTTAAGAGGAAAAAGCTTATTGCATATTCACAGTTTTGTTAGCCTCCACAAAATATCGCAATAAATATCGTACCATGAGATGTATATCATGAAAATATCCTACCGAGAAATTTGGATATTGTTACATTCCTAATTGTGAGATGCCCCACCATATCCTGAGCTTTCCCATGATATCACAATAAATATCGTACCGTGAGGTTCATACCGTGACGATATCGTATCGTGAGACTTGGATACCATTACGCCCCGATTTGTTGTTCATTGTATTTTCATAAACATGTAACTACACTGGTCAAAAACGATTGGCTTAAAGATTAAATCTAGGCGGTACCGACATTATACTCCATAAAAAAAATTTGCCACCATAGTCTGAACAAAATCTATGGGAAACACTCCTTGTAGTATAAACACTTACTGTGACAGAGTGAAAAAAAAGTCTGGCACCCTGTTGGAATTATTATATTAAGTTGAGAAATTCTTTGATTGTGTAACACTGGGTTGCATTGTTTTAAAATTGTATGAAATGGCAAAAATGTCCAAAGATTTATTGGCAATGGAAGTAAAAAATTTTATCAAATAAACAAATTGTCTATTCTATTTTGAAACAGCAGTAATGTGATCTTAGGGGAGAGTACTTCACAATACAACTTTTGTTTGGTTTTGGTGGTGATATGAATAAAGCAGCCTCCCATAACAATACAGTATCTCCAAATCAAATAAATCAAGCTTAAAATAATACATCTTGGCACACCCTTCAATCCCACATGCTTTCACATCTAATTTCCCGTCACTTCTCTTCCCTGTGGTCAGAACTAATGACTGGAGAAACTGATATGTTTTTGCTGTTTTCTATTTTTTCACTGTGTCTCATAAAAGATAAATGTAAGCCTGGCACAGAAACAAATTTTGAAGCATAATAAATTGTTAGAATGTGATAAACTATAATATTGAAACTATTTTATACCACTGTCAGAATAACAAGATAATCCCACAAAACATTTTTTTACATTAAAAGGCCTGATCTGCAACAAATAAGTAACAGACAGAACCAATAATTAGCCATAGAACAGGTCAAATATTATTGTATCACAACAAAAATACACTTCTACACTGTAAATGTACACACGATAAGTATTAAGACCCAAAATATACTATAATATGTCAGTATAGTAAGTATTGTGACAGCCCTCGATAAATCAAAACATAAATATGCATGTTAATATTACTAAATATTACTTTTCCATTGTTATTTTGTTGGTATTCTGTATTCCTTCATAACTTCTTATTGAGAGTGTTCTATCGTGAAAATGAAACTAACTTGTTATCTTTGTCAGTTGGCCCAGGGTGGTACAGGATTCCCAGTGATTTTCCAGTGAGCTCAGGCCTCAGAAGTGACCACACATGACATCAGCCTGCTCTGTGTTGTGCTGTCTGTGTGAGCTCAAAGTGCCCCATAAAAACACTGGCCCGCGCCCAAACGTGTCTCCCACTTCTTATGTACCAGTTATGATGACCAGTGGTGGAACATAACAAAGTAAATTTAGGATCTGTGCTACTCACTTTTTACTATATTTGAGAGCAGGTGTCTGTATTTTGTACTCCACTACATTTTGAACAGGACTGAAAAGTATTTTATATTGTTGGCTGAGACCTGCAGAAAAGGCTGAGTGTTTATTTTTAACATGTTTATAGTTTGAGCACACAAAAATATAAAAATAAAAAGAGATAGGAAAAATCTATTGTTTCTGTTGAACAAAATCCAGCACAGATCTTTATCAGAATCACTAAAGCCTTATAAGACCTCAATCTGTGTAAAATCTTTGTACATTTTATTATTTTTAAATTTTTAAACAGGCACTTAAATAGACTTTTTTTAGGTGATACTTTTACTTGAGTATTTTTTGCTCCAGTATCTGTAGTTTTACTTAAATAACCAAATTTAGTATTTCTTCCACCCCTGATGATGGCATAATGTGAGGTAATGATGAGATTGTTTTAAACATATGGTCATATTCAGCTGATGAGTGTTCATTTGCTATAACCTGACTCACAGGTTGCCTCCATATTTGGCAGTGACACCCATATGGCTTCACTGATTGAGTCACTGTCACTATGTCAGGAATTTCACTGGCCCACAGAGTTATAGGCTGAGGGCGCTCTGTAGCCGTATGCTGCTTCTTTCTGTGGTAGTTGTCTAAAGCGAAAATGTCTAAAGGTTAGTGTTCTTAAAGATAATGCATAATCCACAATGGCACATGTTGAAAATGTTTTTTTTGTGCCCATATGTGGAGTTTACTTTATATTATGTTATTTACAGATCTGTCATAATGTTGTCCCCCCATCAAGAAGTTACCTGGAGTTGTGTTTTGTTTCATTCAAACATGTTTCGTACACAAACACTGCATATTTAGGCTGTGTTCTTCTGTCAAACTGAAAACACTGTTCCACCTTGTGATGTCAAAACACAACTCCAGGTCTGTTTTTGAGGAGGTAACAACAGTCTAACATGGCTTCAAGCTCACAAGAGTCAATTTTGCATAATATAGGACTTAATATAGGGACTTGTAAAGCAATTACATAAATATATCAGTTGAGATGCTGAAACTTATAATTAACAGTGAAAATATTTTTTGATGCAACAGTGGAGTGCACATCTCAACCCCCAGACAATGAGGCTGTAGTTAACAACATTTTCACTTGTCAGCTAATTATCATATTGGGATTACAGGGGATTTTTATGGACCACAGAAGGCGATAGAGTAAGGTAGCCGGAGTTTTCTGAGTGAATCCGGAGCTTTACAAAATCACTGTTACTTCTCATTATGCAAAGTATTTAATCATGTCTTGTAAGTGCATTTTGGGTCAGATGCATGGTGAGATCATAGAGATGTTTAACAGTTTTAAGATCTCATGTTACAACCCTTTTAGTGGGTTAATCACTGCATAGTGTATGTCTTTAACCAAACAAGGATTTCTTTAGACAACTACACAGCCCCATCAGACAGTAAAATTGCAGTATCTAATTGGTTTACTAGAAAAAAAAAAAAAGTTTTAATGTCGAGAGAGACAGCAGCCATGAAAAAAAAAACCACATTGGTCGATTTCTCTTGTAATGGTAGCATTTGCCCTAGGATTTGACCTGGCTATATGTGCTTTATGATAGACATGAACAATGCAATGTTACACTCTCTTCTTCTCTCTCTCTTTCCCTCTCTCCTCTGCCCTCTCTCTCTCTCTCTCTCTCTCTCTCTCTCTCTCTCTCTCTCTCTCTCTCTCTCTCTCTCTCTCTCTCTCTCTCTCTCTCTCTCTCTCTCTCTCTCTCTCTCTCTCTCTCTCTCTCTCTCTCTCTCTCTCTCTCTCTCTCTCTCTCTCTCTCTCTCTCTCTCTCTCTCTCTCTCTCTCTCTCTCTCTCTCACTCTCTCTCTCTCTCTCTCTCTCTCTCTCTCTCTCTCTCCCTGCCCATCATCCTCCACTCACAGCTCAGGATGGGAACATGGAGTACCTTCAACACATTTTTCACATTCTCCTCTGAGGGTCTCCACCTCAGCCCCCCATTGACACCACAACAACAACGGCTACAAATATGCCCCCAATACCAGCCATGGATCTGCTTTTTAGCGCCTCTTCCCTAAGCGAACGAATAGGCCTTTTGTAGTCTGTGGTTTTTAGTCCTAATATGAGTGAACTTTGCATTGTCACTGGGCGAACCTAACCCTCTCTTCCTTCTTTTCTCCTCTGCAGTGGTGGTTTGCGGTGAGCGGCTGTGGCAGAGATGACCGAGTATAAGCTGGTGGTAGTGGGAGCAGGAGGCGTGGGCAAGAGTGCACTCACTATCCAGCTCATCCAGAATCACTTTGTGGATGAATATGATCCGACTATAGAGGTATGATACAAGTTCAACCAAAAAATCGAAATCGCAATTTGAATGGACTAAATGACAAAACTGACAAAGCTGTAATGTTTAAAGTTTCGTAATTTCCGCCATTTTGACATAGAAACGGTTATCCCTGTAGTTTAGATGTGTAAGCATGCTCTGAAATGTGAGTCGTGTGTTAGTTTGTCAGTTCACATTTCAGTCTTTTTGCCGATTCCCCTGGATGTGTTTTAAAATGTGAACTTTGAACAGAATCAATTCATTTAAGGTGCATTGTGTAACCTTTATGACATTAAACAGCTCGTATCTTACATTTATTCAATTACAGATGGTTTTATAGATCAAAAATACCTAGAAAAACAGAAATTCTGACTGAGCCGGGGTCATCTCTCCATAGATCTGACCTTTAACCTGTTCTGGTTTGGTCTCCATGAAGATAGAAAGGTTTAATACCAAATTGTGAAACATTCCATACAAAGCAATAATATTTCCACGAAGAAAAGTATTTGACAGACCCTCCACCAGAAAAGTTACACAATGTACCTTTAGATATTTTCCCAAAACGTTCATTCATATTCTGCATGATTACTTTTCCTGAGAAATTGGCTGTTAATATATTGAAGCTCCATATTAAAAGTGTGCTAAGAATTTTTAAATTGACCATATTTTTTCCTGGTCTGTCTACTAGAACTGGCTCTTTCTCACCACGCCTGCCTCTAGCCAGACAATGTCCTTTTTGTGTATTTGCATTCCTGGCCCCTGTGCTCTAACAAACAAAGGGAGAGCACTCCATGTTTTTGGAGCTGCGCACTACAAGACTGAACACTGGGTCTGATACCGTCTGATCTCATGCTCCACTGACCCCACAGGATCAATGACGGCAATGACTTACAATGTCGTATATAAAATAGTGGAGCTGTTCTTATCTACCAAGAAACAGCTGTCACAGGACTATAGATGAAAAACGGTCTTCTTGTATTATCCTGGCATATTAGCAGAAACGTTAAGTAAGCTGCACTATGACAGAAAAAAATACCTGGCAATTTCACAAATTGATCAGTCTGGTCCCCACTCCTGAAACTCGCTCAAACGTGATCTTGCAGACAGATTTGTTTATTTCAGTGACTCATGTGAAAGGAAGGAATTCACTGGTCACTTATGACTTACAATACAATACAATTACAATATAATTAATTTTATCTCACCTCCAGTTTAGTGAATTTACTGCTTTGCTCATTAATTCTACAGAAATCCATGGGATTTTAGTCTGTCTGTGATATATTTTTCCCTTCGTTTTTTCCAGTGCATGCACCATACGTGTCCCTGATGGCCTAATTTACCTGTCAATCACGGCCATGTGAAAGTGTGTGTATTCTGGATGCCAAACAAATAGGGCTGTACAATTATATGAAAAAAAAAAAACAGAAATTTATAGTAGTATTTATAGATTTTTATTATAGACATAAAAAAATGCAGGGAAATAATTAAATATATTGCTGTTGTATTTTTATTACCTATCTCAATTTGATTGGTGCAGTTATTGTAATCATAAAGCATATTTGAATGTATTCATATTTAATTGTATTTGAATGTATTTCTATTTGGAGGGCAGCTCTGAATCCACTCAGAGCTCACTCAGAGTCTCAGTGTTACCACGGGTTATCGATTTGGTTCAACACACCCCGTCTAGACCTGCTAAGCTGAATTGAGGATGACTCTAATTTGCCTGTAGTGATAACCTAAAACCACAAAAATATCCTTTAATACCCAATAAACCAGTGAGAGTGATATCCAGTTGTTCATAACTTTGTCTCTTTTCCTGCAGGACTCGTACCGAAAGCAGGTGGTGATTGACGGGGAGACGTGTCTGCTGGACATCCTGGACACAGCGGGTCAGGAGGAGTACAGCGCCATGAGAGACCAGTATATGAGGACGGGGGAGGGTTTTCTCTGTGTATTTGCCATCAATAACACAAAGTCATTCGAGGACATCCATCAGTACAGGTGCGTGTACAAACTTACCAACCTAGAGCTTAGTGATTATAATAGGAAGCAAATCAATCATTTGTTTGACTTACTGTTCAATGTATGAAAGCTGGGGAGATTTTTGCCATTTTTATGTAACAATGCAAGAGTTGAGCTATAGAAAAGTTTGTGACAGGCCTATTTCAAACGTTGTTTTTGAATTCTGTGTTCACATATTGTGCAGACGCTTCATTTTCCATAAGCTCACAGTGTCATAAAGTTCGTGTTTTTGGATATTTAACAAAAAATAGACTGTATTTTTTTTTTTTCTAAAGGAAACTCCACCCCAAACCACATTCCAGCTGACATCCTACTAATCATATCATTGATTGACGATTAATTGTACAGCCCTACAAGCATGCTGTGCAAAATGAGTTATAAATTGTCAACAAAAGAAAATAAGACAAATTTGAGAACTGAAAGGGCTAATTATCTTAAAATGAAGCCACTCTTTCCTAATATATAAAATGTTCCCTTTATTAATAACCCTTCTTTATTAATTACTCTTCTTTTGTTTATCACTTGACTGCAAATCTAAATGATCTAGTACTACACTGAATTTGATCTGAGTTTGCTGTTTGTGCACTTGCATTGCTGTCAGGGACTCCCATAGTCTCTGAAGGGAGCTGTGTGTGTATATTTACCTCATGCAAGCGGGTGCCAGCTCCCTGCAGTAGTCAGGTGATGTCATGCTGTAGCGTTTACCGTGGCTAAAGAAAGCTTAGCCCCCAACTGGAGGCTCACAGCACGATGCCAATGAAATTGATCTGACTCGATTAGAAGATTTGGGGAGAGAGGTAGCGCTCCCCCAGGTCGGACAAGAAGAAATGAGGGAAGAGGTTAGTGGAGGCAGAGTTTAAATGTCTTATATTATGCTTCATTGACTCTGGCAGTGGTGGTACCTCCTCAAAAACATACCTGGAGCTGTGTTTTGTTTCATTCACACGTGTTTGAGTAACCTTGCATTATTAGTTCTGTTGCTCTGCTCCAACTTATGATGTCACGAAGCGGTAGTTTTCAAGTTAATCCTTACCTTTTACCTTTTGTTTAGTAGAGATCGGTAGTTCCAGGGCTGGAATCAATCAACCATATAATTCTAGTGAAAGTATATGGAGTTTAAAAACACAACAGTGGAGGACTTTCTTACCACATGACATCACAAGGTGGAACAGAGTGTGTTTTGCCTGAGAAATGAACACAGTCTAAATATGCATGGGTATTTGTGTTCAACATGTGTGAATGAAACAAAACGCAACTCCAGGTAAGTTTTTGATGAAGAAAGAACATTGTAACATAGATCAGAAAATAGTCTAACATGGGACCTTTAAACTACCTTTGCCTACTATTTTACTTTGATGGCCACTTGCAAGGATCTCACTTCGTAAAGAGGCTGCATATTACCTTTGCGGCCTATTATACAGCTTTGCAGGGATGTTGTTTTTTTAGCACGCTTTTGTTTGGCCCTCTGTCAGCCTTTTTATGGAACAGCTTGAACACTGCTGGCAGGGCAGTAAAGGAACACTTGTGAAAGATTTGAGATTGAATGGAAGAAGTGGAGGCCTGCTTGGTGAGAACATTAGAGTTATTCAGAGATCGCTAAGGAACTCCAAGCTGTTTCTGTTTTTAAAGCAGCACTAGCTGTAGTTTATTCCAAACCCCATCAATAAGAACATGGAAAGATTCATGCTTATTTTGTTAATGATGGCAGTAAATGAGCCCAAAATATAAAGGTTAACATGAAAACTTCCTGTATCTGGGATGGGACAAGACACAATTTTCTATAAAAAATGTGTCATCCTGGTTGCGCCTTTGTTTTTTTTTTTGTATTTACTATTTTTGTTGTAATTATAGACCTACTTTTTGAAACCACAGCTTCGTCGTATGAGATGTAACTTACCAGCACTTAGGTCTTTTTTTGTTGTTGCTTTTTTTGTTTTTTTTGTTTTGTCGAATCTAAATGTAAACTAAAAATCTCCCTTGAGAATTTTTCTGCACAATCTTTTTTTCAATTTTATCTTCTTTATTTTTTATCTCTATCTTGTGGAATGAGATCTATTTATTATTTACTATTTATTATTTATTTACTATTTACTATTACTATTTATTTTATTATTTATCTATTTACTACTTAGTAAATGTTAAAATTTTATTTGTTATTCCAGTAAATATCTGTTTTATTTGTGCTTTTTGGCATGGAAAATCATGTTTTTCTACATAGACGGATGCATAAATGAATCCAATTTCACTGTCACCAATACTTAGACTTAGACAAACTTTATTGATCCACAAGGAAAATTATTTAGACACAGTAGCTCATTCATCACAATATAATAAAATAACAAAGAGCAACAATATACACAAATAAGTAGCAAAAATGGCAAGAGACTGGTGTCAAATAAGGCATAATTATACAATTGTACATTTACAAGTAAAATAAAAAAAAATATAGAAGTATAGTAAATACAAAATATTTCTGGGCTATACAAGACGGTTGGTGTTGAAATGAAATACTGTGCAACTGTTTGTCAAATACAAATTCAATGTCCTCTGTGGGGTTGTGGGCTGTAAATACCTGCATTACTAGCCCAGCCTGGAGAAGCTACACTGTGCAATGACATCACTTTAGCACAAATGCGCTCATAAACAGTTCTCTGAGTGGAGCTGGCTGCAGTGGCCAGTGCATCACGCTGCTGTGCTGTGGCTAAAGTAGCTGATAGATTGATTTGACCCTCTCCCCTCGCTGTGCTGTAGTGATGAGGTAATGCTGTTAGCTGCCTGTTGTACTGCACTCCCTCCCCTCCCTCTGGCTCTCTCCTCTCTCTCTTCACTCCTTCATCAGTGCACCATCAGGGTCCCAGTAGAGCCTGCTCCTTTGGGTCTGGTTCTATTGTGGTTTCGGTGATGTTTCTGGATTAAAGATGTTCCCAGGAGTGTGTATTCTTGGGATGTTCCACACACGGCTAATAGCAATATCCGTAGAACCAGAAACTAGGAGCTCAGTGTCTATTTGTTTAGATTAGGTCATGATAATTATGATAACTATATAGGGTTGTCAAAAGTATAGAAAACCAGATACTAATCAATACTAAAACTACAAATTAAACTAGACACTCTTTTGAGCTGGTATTGATATTATCACATTCACCTTCACAGGCACCTTTCCTGAATAGTTTTATCTTGACCTGTATCAGAACAAGTAGAAGACCACATAGTATACTGGATGACTGATCTCGATGACTGAGTGATTACACAGATATGAAATCACAGGGAAATACAAAGGAAATAACGATGATATTGAATCACATTCTGTTTTAGTGTTTTTTATTATCATTGTGGGAATGGGTATGGAGTGTCATGCCTATTCCTTGGTACTGAAACAGAATTTGGCAAAAACACTGCAGATCCCATCCTTATTTTGAGCCAGAATCGGATCCAATACCATCAGGAGGATTAGCCTACAGTGCATGTGATGGCAAAACCTGGAGAACCTGTAGAAATAACATCTTATTGTACACAAACAGGCTTCACATGATTGGGTGTTTAAAATACAGGATTTTATTTTTGAGAGTGCATACTAGTATTGTTCAAAGCAAGAAAAATGATCTGACGAAGGCTTTTTTGCTGAAACGTTACTTAAAAATAATAAAAAGCTTTTGGACATCAGCCATCTGAGAGTGCAATTCTGTTTTGCTGTTCCTTGCATTTGCACCTCTACTCTGATGTGCGTTTTCTGTTTCATTTGATGCATACTAGTTTACCATGTTTGTTAAAGGGATTTTTTTGAATTTCATCCATAATAGTGAGCAATGATAGTCACTCAAGCAATCTCAAACTGTTCTTTTCTTTCAAATTCACAGAGAGCAGATAAAACGAGTAAAGGACTCTGATGACGTTCCCATGGTGCTCGTGGGTAACAAATGTGATCTCCCGGTGCGCACGGTGGAGACCAGGCAAGCCCAGGAATTAGCCCGCTCCTACGGCATCCCATACATCGAGACTTCAGCAAAGACACGGCAGGTAAATCACCACACGCTCTCAGTTTTGTTTTTTTTACCCAAGAATGACTTACCTGATCAGCCAGAATCACACGCTTTGACAAAACTTTACAAACATGAGTGAGTCTGAAATGAGAGAGACAGGATACGGCTCCAGAGTGCATGATTGACAGGCAGATTAACCAATCAGAGTGGTGCTTTTTCAGGTTGCGTCAAAAATA